GTCATTAGCACCGCCCAGGGGGGGGGGGTAGATTATTTATTTGATGGCAGCTTCTTATTAATATTTCATTTATCAATGGATATTTTTATGTTTGTAGTATGTACTTTGAAATTAATTAATATTAGATCATTATTGCATTCATTTTCATTCTGGCGGTGAGTTCCTCAAATATATTTTTTTCAGCTTGTTAAATTCAAAACGTTCTTTGATTTTGCTGCAATCTTATTCCGGGCATTATTTATTTATTTATTTATTTATTATTTATTTATTATTTATTTTTCCTTTACTTTAAGTTTATCATTTCCAACATTCGTTATACTATTGGCATTGCTCTTTTAGTTATCGAGTAAATATACTGCGGTTTTTGTTTGTTTGCCTAGTTTCTTTTCTCTTGTCCGTTTTTCCTTTGTTCGGGATTCCATCTCCCGAAAGTAGCTTCCAAGTGTCGGTGAAGTTTCCTCTTTTTCTCCAAACCGCAAATGTTGAGAGTCCCAATAACAGATGTCTTCCTCCATCGCTGTCTTTTCTTTTAGTCTTGTTTTGTTTTGGTTTGGTTTTTTACAAGTACGAGGATATGATTTTAGTCTCTGATTGTCCACATTTCTTGCAGTTATTGAACGAGGAAATACTGCTGGATTGTACTACATTCCTGCTTCAATCTAAATAACTATATTTACAATAGTGTATGTAAGGTGAAGATGTTATTCAAAAATTGATCGGTGTATACCTTAGACTTCGTTAGTCCTGAGTGCTTAAGAATGCTAACGTGCGCGCAAGAGTGTGTGTGTATGTGTGTGTGTGTGTGTGTGTGTGTGTGTGTACTGTGTGTGTGTGTGTGTGTGTACCGTGTGTGTGTGTGTGTGTGTGTGTGTGTGTGTGTGTGTGTGTGTGTGTGTCTGTGTGTCTGTGTGTTTGTTTCTGTGTGTATGTGTGCTTGAGTATGTAGGAGAGCGTGTTTCTGAGTGGGTATGTATGTGCGAGAGAGAGAAAGAGAGAGAGAGAGAGAGAGAGAGAGAGAGAGAGAGAGGGAAAGAGAGAGAGAGAGAGAGAAAGGGAGAAAGAGAGAGAAAGAGAAAGAGAAAGAGGGGGAGGAGGGAGAAGGAGAGAGAGCAAACGAAAGAGAGAGAGATAGAGAGAGTGTGTGCGTGTGTACGTGTGTGTGTGTGTGTGTGTGTGTGTGTGTGTGTGTGTGTGTGTGTGTGTGCGAATGCATGTCTGTATGATATGTCTGAATATATGGGCGAATCTAAAAGAAAAACAAACACATCAAAAAGAGCTTCATTCCTTCATTGACTGTGATGAAATTTTTCCTAAAAACGCACGTTCACTACTATCATTTCACGAAATAAAATCACGTGACCATATGGAACAATGACCTCACGAACATCCCCAAGACTTGAAGTCTATGGCTTTGTCTGACGTCACTGGTTCCTTGATCCAGGCCAGAGATTGTTGGGTAGTCAAAAACCACGTGTCCTGAGGATAAGGAAAGGGCGGGGACGTTAGGATGAATTGATACCTATAGGACAGATAACCCTATGAGTATGTATAACAAATCATTCCGTATATAATTTACATTGACAGACAATTACTTTGTTTATGGCTTTCAATTCTTTTTTAAGAATCATGTGTTGAGAGTTAAGGTCTTTAGGAGGAGATGAATTTGAAAATCCATGCGGACAGATTATTTTCTTTTTCTGCTTTACTATTTGTCTTTCGTGGATTGATAGCTGTTGAAGCACAGCTGGGAATTAAGGCATGTGAAGACTTCAGGGTAACAAATAGCAGAATAACATTTTAGATTATATTTGAGTTGCTTCTCATTGAGGTTCTATGACAGTGCAATTTAATATAACAACACATTTTACAGGGCGAAAAAAGGACAGGGTCCATATAAAAATGAAGGAAAACAGTGTTGCATCCTCCTTTAAGGTACTAGATTTCAAACTTAAAAAAACTGAATTTCCCCAAATCACCAAAATATGACTGAATAGCTCCATGTACATTTGAAAGATTTTCTTCTATTGCCAAATTAAGACTCGTTTGTTGCTGAGTAAAGAGAGATAGTTAAAATAGTAAAATAACTGCCCAGTAAATAATATGGTGTGTTACCACGGGACTCAGGAATGGAATATTATTACATATATTTTTCTCTCAAACACATACATTGATTAAACACATCCTACCCCCCCCCCACC